ACTGCTCCAAGCCATCATTACCTCTGGCCTAGCTTCCTGCAATAGCCTCCAGACTTCATCTCTGACTTCCATAGTCATCCCATCTCTATGCTCTGCTCCTGTCAAGCCATTCTGTTCCAAATCCCCTACGGCTCCTTATCTCATTCAGACTAAGATTCAAACTACTTTAAAACTCTCCACACTGCCCATGGCATTCTTCACCCCACTGCCTTCCTGCCTTCAACATTTCTGTAGCCTTTTTTTTTTTTTTTTTTTGGTTTTTTTTCGAGACAGGGTTTCTCTGTGTAGCTTTGCGCCTTTTCCTGGAACTCACTTGGTAGCCCAGGCTGGCCTCGAACTCACAGAGATCCGCCTGGCTCTGCCTCCCGAGTGCTGGGATTAAAGGCGTGCGCCACCACCGCCCGGCCTACTGTAGCCTTTTTGAAACTCTTCGTTGTCCCTTATGGAATTTGTCACCAGAGTACATACTTGGGGACCATCATATTTGTCCTTCTTTCTGCTTAGAATTCTCTTTTCTGTTGTGATGCCAAATAACTGACTTTTGTCAATATCATGACCTCCTTTCACCTCTATCAAGTATCAAGTTTCTTATCAGTAAGTCCTTTTCTTACTAACCTATTAAAAATTGCAACTTCTCCAGCCTTTGGCTGGCAGCTCATCCACGTCCTATGTTCTTCCCCTTCCCTGATTAATGTTTCCCATCTCTCCTAGTACCCAATGGCACACACGCATTTTATTTGTTTATCTGTTTGTCTAAGGGTTCCTCATACTAGTATGTAAGTCTCATGGAGAAATAGGTTTTTGCCTGTTTCGTTATTTGCTGTTCTTCCACTGCTGGGAATAGGTCATCAGTGCATAGCCTGTGTCTCCTAAATGCCTGCTGTTGAATGAGTAATAGACATCTTTGAAGGGATTATGAGTACAACCTGAAGTAGTCATATACTACGTGAATGTTTTGTTACCACTTTTCTTTAGAAAATTCTTCTATATTTTATACTCAGGAGGCCCTGTGTTTTATTATAAGCATACTTCACCTCAAAAATTTTGAGGCAGATGGAAGGTCCAGGAATATGCTAACCCGCAGCCATTGTAAGTCAGCATGAGTCACAGTCTGAGAGGCACATTTCTGAGAATTAGGAGCTTCATTCCATCTTGATATAAATTAGCTTATTTGACCCTTGCCACTCAAGGAGTGTGGTGAGAGAGCTTGAGGATGTCCTGGTGGTTTCAAAACCTGCAGCTCCATTAGAAAGTTCTGTAGGCTGGATGCAAATTCATGACAAACAGGCTGGATCTGGGTCTAAGGGTCTAAGAAGACATATACTACCACACATGTCAATAAGGCTTGTGAGAAAAACGAGCCTTTGCATTTTAAGAATCAAAAGTAAGCTAAAGTTGGCTAATTATTATTATTTTTTGATTGGTCTGAGGAGGTCAATAATTGAGTACAAAAGAAGGATTGACTGTTATCACTGAAGTCTTTTCCTAAGAAAAAGGAGTGGGCAATTAGAACGTCTTCTGATAAAATGGTGGCTTCCTTTTCATTCACTAGCAACCATTTGATAAGTTACTCCTATTTTCCTTTTTTATCCTGGCACTTTCTGCAATGGTCTCCACTTTCTCCACTCTTTTGTTTTCCCTTTGTTCCCATGAGTTTTGATAACATAAGAAAAAAAAAAACTTGGATATAAATTTAGAAAGAAAATGAGTTCAGTGTGGGAAATCCGAGTGCTAGGAGTTGGAAGTGAGCATGTGGCTGGCTTATGGCTCCTTTTGGCAAGACTTGGGGAGAGACCTGGCAGCACTCCTCCAGAGCCTCAGGGGTGGGGCATGCTCACCTGGCCAGCAGACTGCCTGTTGAGCAGCTAATCACCCTTGCCTGTGGGCTGCCTTGAAGTCTGTAAATACAGGGCAGGAGATTCTTCTGGGGTGGAGAAAATCTAAGTGAGGCAGCTTGTTCAGCATCTGCTACAGATTGTGGTGAGGGGCATGCACATGCTGGGCTTTATTGATATAAATCATTTTGTCATGAGGCATCATCAGGGCTAAGGTAAACGAATCAATTGCATTTTGTCATTAGGTATAATCGTCAGGTTGTGTATTATATAATTTACCCACTGTCGGTCTTGAATGGAGTCCCTTTCACTGAGGTGCATGTTTGCAGAACTGGGGATGACATATGACTCTCAACTTGCCTCAGTTCATTCTTTCAGAGCTTCTCTTCCTATACTGCAGTGACTCAGAGCCTGGGAGTCAGTGAGTGGCCCCCCAATAGGAGGGTAAGAAGAATACCTGCAGGAACAGTGTTCTGCTTCCACTATGGGAGCAGGAACATGGAAGCATGATGATATAGGAAGACCTCTACTAAAACAGGCTTTCAGGAGTCACCAGAGAGCAGTTGCTGCATGCATGCCTACCAACTCTTTGGTGCTTAATGGCAATTCCTGCATTCCTGGATAACGGGCACCAATTCAATTATGTAACAAATAATTAGAAAGATTTTAATTCTTCACTACTCCCTAGAAAATTCTGTTAAGATTGGCCCTTTAAATGATTTTTTTTTCATAAAACTATTCCACCCAAATTTCAGAGGTTACAAAAGAATGTTGCCTCTGCCCATTTCTGGTTTCCATTGTCTGACTTCCTTAATTCTTAGTGATATAAAAAACAGCTACCAACATATATGACCAACACATATGAGCAAAGAAAACTCTTGCCTGGGTGTGCTATATCAACCTCTGAATCACCCCATCCTTCATTTTAGCTGCCAGAGTTCTTAGAAGTTTAGTTTTTTAGAGAATCACATTTCTTTCCTGCCTCCAGGGTAGTGAAAGTGAGTGAGTGAGCTTCCAAAGTGGGCATCTACAATTCTTCATGTGCTTAAACATCCCTGGTCATTCTTCCTGCCTCTCTTCCCAAGAGGCTCCTCCCTTTTGGCAAGGTGCCTTTCCTGGCTTCAAGGGGTAGTTCTACAGTGCTTTCCAAAATAACTCCATCTGCCTTTCCTCTTGACCTGCAGGTCCATTCAAAACCATAAACCTGTCACATGTCAACTGTTTTCCTCTAACTAGTCAACAAGTAAAGAGAACAAAACCACACTAAAAAATTTATTCTCATTTCCCAGGCTGTGGAGACATATGAAAATAGATATTGGAAAATGATATGCTGAAGGGTTGTAGATAATGAAACATTAGGCCATTGTCAAAATGGCTCTAGAAACCCATGCCCTTGAGTCTAAAGGCCACGATTCTTTCTGCGTAGTGATCCTCACAGAGGAAACTATTATAAAATTCACATGGACACGCGGCTCCATGGTTTAGATATTTATGCCTTCTATTCTCACAAGACTCAATTGGGCAGGTACTCTTGGTCTTCTGAGTTGATCCACCTATCTGTTTTATAAATATGAGTTAGTAGCATGATGGGACAGTAGAGGAATGGGTGTTTAGGTACTGGAATCAGACTCTGGGCTCAAATATTAGCTCTTTATGTGACCTGAGAAAGTCATTCCATCTGGGAAGGTCTCAGTCATGTCCTTTATAACATGAAAATTAAGACTAACTTGTTAATGAGGTTCCTATAAAGACATGAGGTGATGGTGTGGAGTTCAGAGCACATATATGTGTAGTGGATAGCTGTTCTGACTATGACCTTAAAGCACTGCCCCTAGAGATGTAGCAGGTACTGTCCCACCTACCTATGGCCTTGAAGTACCTGCCCCTGGGGCATGGCTTGGAGCTACCCTTAAGATCGGAGACTAACCTATGCTGCTCTTTTCTCTTGCTTGTGGGCTGGATGATGTGGACCATCTTAGTGGCAGAGCAGCATTGAACTGTGCCTCAGCTTTCCAGGACCCTGTGATAATTCTCCTATTCTGTATTTCATGAATGTATTTCCCAAATTTATAATAAATTCCTTTTACCCCTTGAGTAGACTCCTATGGATATATTGACACACTTGGCGCCCAATGTTGGCGGGGCTGGGACCGGGGTGCAAAACAGGCTTAGGGGCCCAGACCCAGCTGCTATGACAGGCTTACTGACAGGCAACACTGGATCCAGGAAAAGCCATAAGCTAACACCACCCAGCAATCCACTCAGGGATGGACCAGCATCTAAGGGGAAGTACCTGACATCCCAAACATTCCAACCTTAGATAAGATTAGATAAGATCATCAGATGTTCCTGAGGCTAGCATACATCTATTTTCCTTTTACAGATACCCCTAGACAAATGTCAGCCAATCAGGGTCCTGAACCCTAGAAATCCCCTCACCCCAATCTCTGCTATGATAAAAACACTACCCTGTCTGGGCTTGGGGTTCTTGGCTCTCACCACTGCATCAGACAGAGAGTCCAAGCTCTAAGCTTGCAATAAAGGCTCTTTGCTTTTACATATGGGATTCAGTCTCTGTGCTGGTCTTTTGGAGGTCACCACAGTCTGGGTATAACATACATGTATAGTAAGCACACATTGTTTGCTGATATAAGGAGATCAGAACACAAAGATCATTAAATGGCTTCACCAAACTTAAATGGCTTCACCAAAATTTGGCCTAATATTAATTCTGAAAGAACTTATTGCCAACACTGACCTCAGGCCATCTTGTAAATAAGGGCCATGTGACTTCACAGTAGTAGGGGTGAATTTGTTCTTATTTTCCCACTTTTTCTGTAACACTTTTACCAGGCATCTCAGACTACATATCAGACAGGAGCTAGGATGCAGTCGGTATTCCCATTGAGCAGAAAAGCTCGGCTGTCTCTAATGTTCTTTCCCATTGTGCCTCAGAAAGAAAGGGTTCCTCCTTCAGGTAACAACTGACCATCTGACTTGTTCCACATGAATCCACAAAGCAAGGACATATCCCCTCCAAATTTTCAGGTTCTTCTCGACTTTGGTAGATGTTTTATTCACCAGTTGCAGAGGGGAGCCACAGCTAGGTGAGGGTTGAATAACAAGTCAATAAGTACAAAATTGCCCATCTCTGTAGTGTCTTACATTTAGTTGCAGAGAGCTGGGATTTATACTGCCCTCGGACCAGCCGGCAGGTGGACCCATCTCCGTTGCAGACCCCACAGTTATCCTCCTTGACGGTACTTCCCAGCTGATGATCACAGCCAACAATCTAATGAGAAAGAGAAATGTATAATTCAACAAGGCACCTCCCAATGCAGGGATCTACGGTAAGGCTGATGGCTACCTCTCATCTCTGAGAGACATAAGATGTACTTCATTTTAAAGGAACTGAGTTAGTAGACTATGAACCAGGCTAAGGGGGAAATATGTAGTATGAATACAAATGTCTTTATAGTTCAAGTATATAAGTGAGAGATTATAGAAGACAGAGAATGGGGACTGGGAAGGATCGGGAGAAGTAAATATAGATCCTAAACTACTGATGTTCTAAAACCTTAGTGCAAAAGTAACTCTCAGTGTCAAATAATGATATCTCTCTCAAATTACAAAATATACAGATGTGAAATAACTGCAACTGGGAAAATTCCATCAACAATCTCCAAGTGCTGAATGCTACTTAGAACACAAACCATGTAAGGGTTTTGCACATTAGGTTCATTACTGTATTTTAAGAAATCAGAAGAGCACTTCAACTGTGGGTTAACATTCCTTTAATGCTGTGATATTAAGTTTTTTCAGTAACATTTCCAGTAACACTAACACAGGTGTGTGTGTGTGTGTGTGTGTGTGTGTGTGTGTGTGTGTGTGTGTGTGTATGTAGGGGAGGGATGGTTCTGTCTGGCTCTTTCCTGTATAAAGCAAAAACAAACATCTCATTAACTTTCAAAATGATCATGCAAGATTGCCCTATTTTATAATTGAAGTTGGGTGTTTTGCCTAGGGCACTTGGCTAATGAATGGCCATGTTCTAAACACATTCAGCAAAATATTCATAGTTGGTCCACATCAGGCTTTAATGAAACCATACCTTTATCAGGCAGGCAGGCAAGTTTCATTGTATCTTTAATATTTTCTCTCCTATGTTTAAGTTAGAGAAACAAGCCGGATCCATACTGTTGTGGAATATTAGTTTAAGATGTGTTACATTCATTTATGTTGTGGAATATTTGTTTAATGATGCACAGATGTGTTGCATTCTTTTATTCTTTATTCTTGTGTTGCATTTGTTTACCTCTGTAAGCCTTTGTTACTTTGCCTGCCTAAAACACTAGATTGGTCTAATAAAGAGATGAATAGCAATAGCTAGGCAGGAGAGAGAAATAGGTGGGGCTGGTGGGCAGAGAGAATAAATAGGAGGAGAAATCTAGAGAGAGAAGAGGAAAGAAGAGTGAGAAAAAGAGGAAAGAAGGATGCCAGGGGTCAGCCACTCAGCTACATGGCCCACCATGGAGTAAGAAGGAAAGAAAGATATATAGAATAAAAAAAGGTAAAAAGCCCAGAGGCAAAAATGTAGTGAAAGAGAAATTGGAAACTGGATAAAAATAAGCCAAGTTAAGGCCAGGCATTCAAAAGTAAGAATAAATCTTCCTGTGTTTATTTGGGAGCTGGGTGGTGGACCCCCAAAGAGTAAACAAACAAACAAAAACTATACCATACCATACCAGGTTGTGTATCCTGGAATTCCGTATTGAACTAATGCCAAAGCCTTGTCATGCTACCAAATGATTTCAATTATTATGTTTGATGAAATAAAGTGACATGAAAATGGAGTGACATTTCAAAATGCTTATCATTAGTCATTAGGACTTCTTTGTTAGGTTTCTGTGGAACTGTAGTAGAGTTATTTTCAAAATTCTTCTCTGTAGATGGGCCTCCACATGAATGGATCATGTGTTTACTCACATTTGTATTTTGAGGACAGTGTGAAATGGAAATTGCAGAAGTACCTACTTAAAAAAAATCACTTAACCATTTAAATAACATTTTTTTGAGGCTCTGCTAAGGGTCAGGTGCTATATGAGGAGCAGAGTTCAATGCTACAGTTAAGCATGTATGGGACCATCTGCAGGAGACTTCCAGTCTAGCTGGGAGGAAGATAATATCCAAATCATCAGGAGCCATAAAAGAAAGAGAATAATCATGAAAAAACTACAAATATAAAGTATCCTGAGATCATAAAACACAGTGACTTTGGTGAGAGAAACAGAGAAGATCTGATTGAGGAAGAATCTTCTCAGCTTAGAAAGGGGTGGAGAGCTGGAGCAAAAACTGCAGGGGTGAACGTGGCTGTTATATGTACACCATGTCCTTTAGAAATGAGACATTAGACACCGGCTACTTAGAAATAAGAAAAACCCAGAGGCAGGAGGAAAGGGTCACAAAACTGGATTCTTTAGTGAAACAGATGCTCTTGAGAATGCATGGCACTCAAGGATCATGGTCTCTCTCTCTCTCTGCTCTGTGGCTTAGGACTGAAGAAAGACAGGTTTAAGTTGACAAGATCCTCAGCTATGTAGAAGGACAAGGTAGGTAGTGGCATGAAAATTTGTGTTCTTAGGCGTCTCAAACCTAACTGGATCTACTACTTCTTAATTTATAGAACTTTCAGGTTTCTCAAAAGATTTAAGTTTCTCTGGGAAAATTGTAAAGGACTCTGATGTCTCTAATGGAACAAGAGGAGGTGATTATCAAAAGTCCTTCCATAATTCTAAAGACTTCTTATGGCTCCAAAACCATGTTAAGAAAAGAACAATTTAGCTTTCTTAGATCCAAAGTGACAATCATATGAGGAATGGCTAAATAGGAGGTGACATACTTTATGAGTAACGTGGCCAGAGCCCAACTCAGTACTCTCAGGGTAGGTTTGTAGACCCTATGATACGAAGCAAGTCTGTTCTAAGAGGGCATTGCTTAATTTCAATGCTTTAAACACAAATATCTCCCTGACATGATTTTTTTTTTTTTACTTTTCCTCTGTATCAATTCCCTTATTAAGATGCCAAAATATTCTAACTCAATTATTTTGAAAATGTGAAACAATTTATCATCAGATAAAATGTTCCTATTTTGGTCCAAGTAGAAAATTGTTTGCAATCATATCAGGATGATCAATCCTGACATGTGTTAATCTGTTGATTATGAATGACAATTAGATTAATTAAAATTTAAACTATTACTTTCAGATCTGTTACTAATAGAAAAGAAAGTAACTTGGAATGTAGAAAGGGGCTAAACCAATAAGCATAATGCCAGAACTTTCTGTGCCTTTGAACATTTTATACCTTCTGTATTGAACCCTTCTGATCAATCCTTTACTTGGAGGACTCCTACTGAACCATCAAATTCTAAATTAAGTATCCTTGGCGCAAAGAAAGACTTTTCTAGAGTCTAGTTCTGTAGATGTAACCAACAGTCTTATAAAATAAGAAACACAGAGCCAATTCAGAGAAGAAAGCCAAGAGGTCAGAGCTACGAGTCTCACCCTTCCTGATTCAGGGATCCTCTCCAGCCAAGAGAGCTCTCCGAAAAGGACCTACTTCCTGTGTGTCTGTTTTTAAAGTCTTCCTGTTCTGTCTTCTCATTGGTTGTAAACCCAAACATGTGACTGCCTCGTCACTGCCTGAATGTACCGCCCTCCAGGTCCTTAAAGGCGTGCGCCACCGCCGCCATGCACTTGTTATGACTCTAATAGCTCTGACCCCCAGACAACTTTATTTATTAACATACAATTAAAATCACATTTCAGTACAAGTAAAATATCACCACATTGTTCCATGCTTTCTCAGCCTTTTCTTTATAGATAATAGAGACTATGGGTTGCACCTGTTATAGATGGTTACATGTTTTCCCAGCAATACAGCTCTAATTTTATTGGGATGGTAATATTTTGAGTTAAAAGAAGGCATTTCTCCTTGGCCATACATCTAAACTGTAATTATTGAAATACAAATGGAAATATAATGTGTCCTGGAAAGACTAAAGAATCTAACTTAGCTTGAAGGTCCCTTACTACCCTATGCCTGCCTTGACTCTTGTTAGCTCCTGTAACCATCTTGGAAAATGAGACAACCCTGAGAATGAAAGATCCGTGCTAGGGATGGAACAGCACAGAGGACAGAGCTTAGCTTCTGTACTATATAATCTAGGGACTGGTTATATCTTAGATTCTTTTTCCTTCTCTTTCTTTCTTTCTTTCTTCTCTTCCTTTCTTTCTTTCTTTCTGTTTTTTTTTTTTCAGACAGGGTTTCTCCATGTAGTTTTAGGTGCCTGTCCTGGATCTTGCTCTGTAGACCAGGCTGGCCTCAAACTCACAGAGATCCACCTGGCTCTGCCTCCCAAGTGCTGGGATTAAATGCGTGCGCCGCCGCCGCCGCCACCACCACCGCCACCACCACCCAGCAGCTTCTTTTTTTCTGAGAGAACATATCCCTATTAGTTTAAACCATTATTATTTTGTGAAATTTCTGTTATAGACACGCAACTCAAATGGTTACAGAACTGGTATGGAGCTTGAACGATGAATATATTTGCCTGAATATCACACTGTGGCTAGTTTGAGATCTGTTTTTTTTTTTTTTTTTTTTTTTTTTCCTGGAGCATAAACTTCCCAGACACCATATAAACAAAAAGTCCAGTGTCAGGTATGGGTTACCTATTTGTGAGTTATTGGTCAGTGGGGTCCCCACAGTGCTGTGGGATGGTCTGTATGTCAAATCTGTTGCTCTGATTGGTCAATAAATAAAACACTGATTGACCAGTGATCAGGCAGGAAGTATAGGTGGGACTAACAGAGAGGAGAATTGAGAGAACAGGAAGGCGGGAGGAGACACTGCCAGCCACCGCCATGACAAGCAGCATGTGAAGATGCTGGTAAGCCATGAGCCACATGGCAAGGCATAGATTTATAGAAATGGATTAATTTAAGAACAGTTAGCAAGAAGCCTGCCACGGCCATACAGTTTGTAAGCAATATAAGTCTCTGTGTTTACTTGGTTGGGTCTGAGTGGCTGTGGGACTGGCGGGTGATAGAGATTTGTCCTGACTGTGGGCCAGGCAGGAAAACTCTAGCTACACCACAGGGCCTGCTTTAATCACTAGAGCCCATTGCCATTGTTCTTGGCTATCCTGTGGAACATAATGTTAAGTTCCTGTTGCTGAAGACATCACATGCCTGAGTCATAAAACATGGACAAATTAAGTTGGTATTGA